ATTTCTAAGTCCTTGAGGAATGGCCACTGTCTTCCACAATGGTTGAACTAATTTACACTCCCACCAGCAGTGTAAGTGTTCTTATTTCTCTACATCCTCTCCAGCATGTTGTCTCTAGATTTTTTAATGATCAGCATTCTAACTGGTGTGAGATGGTATCTCAATGTACTTTTGATTTGCATTTCTCTAATGACCAGTGATGATGAGCATTTTTTCATGTTTGTTGGCCTTATGTATGTCTTTTGTAAAGTGTTTGTTCATATGCTTCGCCCACTTTTGAATGGACTTCTTTGTTTTTTTCTTGTAAATCTGTTTTAGTTCTTTGTGGATTCTGGATATCAGCCCTTTGTCAGATGGGTAGACTGCAAAAATTTTTTCCCATTGTGTTGGTTGCCAATTCACTCTAATGACTGTTTCTTTTGCCGTGAGGAAGCTTTGGAGTTTGATTAGGTCCCATTTGTCTGTTTTGGCTTTTGTTGCCAATGCTTTTGGTATTTTGGTCATGAAGTCTTTGCCTATGCCTATGTCCTGAATGGTTTTGCCTGGATTTTCTTCTAGGGTTTTTATGGTGTTAGGTCTTATGTTTAAGACTTTAATACGTCTGGAGTTAATTTTAGTGTAAGGTGTCAGGAAGGGGTCCAGTTTCTGCTTTCTGCACATGGCTAGACAGTTTCGCCAACACCATTTATTAAACAGGGAATCCTTTCCCCATTGTTTTTGTCAGGTTTGTCAAAGATCAGATGGTTGTAGATGTGTGGTGTTGCCTCCGAGGCCTCTGTTCTGTTCCATTGGTCTGTATCTCTGTTTGGTACATGCTGTTTTGATTACTGCAGCCTTTACTAGTTTGAAGTCTGGTAGTGTGATGCCTCCAGCATTTCTAGGCATTTTTAAAGTTGAGAGTGCAGTTGTTCCTAATGTTTCTAAGAACCCCATGTCCGTAATTTTAAAAATTCTGTCTACACCCAAATCTAGGTATACCACATACATTCAGTAATTTGGAAAATTCCCAGGGGACAGAAACTACTGATCCAAAATAAGGCCAAGAGAGGGAAGGAAGCCTACTCACGTGCAGTCAACAAGTTTAATGACAGTACTGTACTCAAATCAATTAAGGATAAAATAATGCTGAGACAGTTTCTGGTACTCAAAGTGTCCTTTATTGTCTATCATCCTATTTGAGTTTTATTGTTTTTACAGAATTAATTGGGAAATACTTAAGGTACAAATTAATAAATTTAAAAAAACATCTTAGTATAGAAATCTTAAAAATCTATAAAAATCTTAGTACAGAAAATACATTTAATAAACTAAAGCAAAAACCAAAGATCTGTGATAACCAGAGTCCAAAGTATCCAAGGAGCTACTCTTTGAGCCATATTCTCCTCGGTTTCCAGGTTCAAAGTTTTAAAATATAACAATTTTAAAATATAACAAATACAGACTTTATTTTGTACTGTACAAAGTGCTAATTTTGGTAGATCCATTAAAACAGAATATTTAAAAAAGATCATTAATAAAAGTAATGATCACTAAAATTAATGTTATACACAGTTTACCGTATTTTATTGCTAGTGTTTTAATTCTGCATGAGCAACATCAAAGTACTTAAATAGCTAGTTTCTAAAACTTTACAGAAAACCCAGTAGAATTCCACATGCTTATAACAAGTATGAAATATGCTTATATTAGAAATAGTTATCTACATATTAACAAGAAACTGTGGTCCTCAAATATGCCAATTTTAGAGAGTCTAATAACTACTGATAGTAACTATATAAATGTTTTGGAAAAAAGTTACATATAAAAGCCATACTTCAGCTGAGGTGATAACTAGACATCAGTTTCCAGAGCTTCAACAATGTGTGCAGCAGAAGGACGATCTTTAGGGTCTTCATTAGTACATACAGAGAAGAGTTCAATTACTTTCTGGTATGATTCATCTAGTTCTTCCATATTAATAGGTGGCCTAGTTCCCAAAGCTGCATAGTATGCTTCATCATCAAAGTCACTTTCATCAAAAGTTTTATCTTGAAGGAGTTAGAGATTAAAACAATAAAGAAAATCACTTTATGTCGTAGAAAAGCCTAAGAGCTAGCTCACCCTCCTCCTGAAATAAGAATTTATGGTCTAGTATGGTTTCCAGTCAGCCATAAACAGAATGGAACTGTCTTCAATTGTCTTGCCTTCAAGTAGAATGGCTTTAGTTTGGATTTATAGGTTATAGACCCCTACTCCCACCCTTCCTATGACAGCTTTCCAATCTTTTTCTCAGGTAAGGAGAACTTTAAGGTAATTTTTTGCTTCTCTGGACAGCCTCAATTTTTCTCCCTATTCTCAATCTACGTCTCATTTGTGTGAGATTAAACCTTGGTGGTACCAAATCAGTCATCAGCACTAATTAATATATATCTTAGAAATTATGCCACTAAATCATATAACTTGCTCTTTCAAATTTTAAAAGATAAAATGTTATATAAACTAATCTTTAGTATGAAATGAGATTGGAATTTATGTTAGAAATTGTATTCATACCTTCATCATCATCATCATCATTTGAAAGATTAACGTGTGGAATGGATAAAGTCATCATCTCCCACAGAGTAAGGCCAAAGGCAAATATGTCTGCCTTATCAGTAATAACACCATTCTCCTCCAAAGCTTCTTTGGGTTTCCATGGCTCTGTGCCAATGTAGCAAGCCTCAGGGTCAGTCACTGAAACAAGCAAAATGGTTATGAAGGCAGGCGCTAGAAATTACAAAAAGGCAAGCAACCATGATTTGAACAAGTAGTTCACAGGTTAATCAATGTAAGCAGTAAATGTGAAAACACACTTAGTAAGGATTACTTTCTATATTTCAGGTTGGTAAATATTCAAGAAGCTGGTCAGTTGGCAAGTATGTAGAAAAACAGCAATTCTCTTAGTAGTAGCAATATAGAATATGGATGTTGAGAATTACAGACTCGAGCCAGACTGCCCTGCTTGGGTTCAAGAACATGTGCAAACTGTGTGACTTTGAGCAGATCACTTCTAGACTGGAATTTCTTCATTTTGTGAACAATATTAAGCTGAGAGAAGTACCATTTATATACTTCCATGATTGCTACGTCAGAGAAAAGGGAAAGGGACTAATCACACATTGGCTCTTTTTTAAAGCCCAAGAAAGAAATGAGTCCACTCACATTTCCATTGAAATTTTAGTCAACTTGTCAATTTCAATGAAAAAGTCAGCTAGAATTCTGATTAGGATTGGATTGAATCTCTAGGTCAATTTGGTAAGAATTAACATCTTATTAGTATTGAGTCTTCCAATCCACGGTCATTTGTTTTTCCACTGAATTTTCTCAGTGATGCTTTATAGTATTCATTACAGAGGACTTAAGACTTTTTTGGTTATGTTATATTCTGAAATATCTTGGGTTTTGGTACTTGTAAATGGATTTTAAAGATTCCATTTTCAATTATTTACTGGTAATACATAGAAATATTGCTGACTTCGCTTAATCTAATAGTGGTTTTATAGATTCCTTGGGATTTTCTATCTAAACAACATATCAACTGCAAATAGGGACTGTTTCGATTCTTGCATTCTTCATTTCCTTGCCTTATTTCAGTGGCTAGGGCTATTGTACTGTTAAATAGTGGTAAGAGAAGGCATCCTGGCTTGTTCCCTACTACGGTATGATACCTGCAGGTTCTTCTGTAGACAGCCTTTCTCAAGCTAAGATCCCTTCTATTTGTAGTTAGCTGAGAGATTACCTTTTTTTTAATCAAAAATGGATGTTGGATTTTGTCAAACATGTTTTCTGCACGTGATATTGAGATGATACATAGTTTTCAAAATTGTTAATATGGTGATATTGACTGTCCCTAGCTTTCAGGTATAACTGACAGTTGTGTGTTTAAGGTATACAACTTGATGTTTGATGTACATAAACACTGTGACCTGATGGCCACAGTCAAGCTAATTAACATCACTTCATATAGTTATCATTTTCTTATTGTGTGAGAATACTCAACATCTTCTCTCGGCAAATCTCAAGTGTACAGTATTTATTGTTAACAATGGGCACAAAGTTTCCGTTATGCAGGATGAGTAAGTTCTGGTGACCTAAAGTACAGCACAGTTAGGACATTGATTCTGGAATGTTAAACTTTTCCTTCCTGGACTTAGTGTCCTTATGTACCGTTGGACTGAATTTGCTGATACTTTGTTAAGGATTTTGATATCTGTGTTTGTGAATGATATTGAACTATCATTGTTTGTATTCTGGGTACACGGCAGGTAAACATGTTTATGTGTTGATAAGAAATTTTGATACAGGCATGCAGTGCATAATAATCATATCAGGATTGATGGGATGTACCATAATATGTTGGGTTTTCATATTAGAGTTATGCTTACCTCAGAACAAACTGGGCAGTGGTCCCTATTCCTCTATTTTCCGAGCAAGTCTGTATAAAATCAGTGTCATTTCTTCCTTGGATATATGGTGAAAATCAACAGTAAAACATCTGGGTCTTGAGTTTTCTTTGTGGGGATGTTTCTTAATAGACATGCGGCTATTTGGATTTCCTATTCTTATATTAATTTTGGTAAATTGTATTATTGAAAGAAATTGTTCTTTTTATCGAACTTGTCAAATTTATAGCCATAAAGGTGTTAGTAATAGCCTAATTCTTTAAATGTGAGAATTTACAATGATGACCCTTTTTCATTCCTGATATTGGTGACTTCTGTTTTTTCTTGATCAATCTAGATAAAGTTTTATACATTTCATTATCTTTTCAGATAACCACCTTTTGGCTTTAATATTTTATAGTATTTGTTTTTTATTTCATTGATTTAGAATTTTTTTTTTCCAATACAATTTATAACTCTTAAGCCCTGCTTTAGCAATCGCTCGCACATTTTGATATGTTGTATTTTCCTTATTATTCAAAACATTTTCCAATTCCCTTGTCATTTTCTTTGACCCATAGGTTATTTAAATTTGTGTTACTGAATTTCCAAACACTTGGGGTTTCCTTGGGTATCCTGTTTGTGGTTTCTAAGCTAATTCCATTGTGGCCAACCTATATACTCTGATTTCTCTCAGTGTTGCACAGACCTTTATTTCTGCTGTAACTAGGATAAATTCAAACTCTTACAAACTCAAACTCTTAGGCAGTGTTAGAATGTATTATACTAAAAAATGAAAATTTTCAGTATTTGATCACTATAATCTCCATTTTCTCACAAATAAAATAAATCATTTTGAAACAACAGAAGACACAGTGGGGCAGTTTTCTGAAACAGACTTTTCCAGAATGGAAGGTAAGTTCTGTCTTGAGAAGCTCAAGGCAAGGAAGAAACAACTAACATTTATAAAACAAAAAGGAGGACTAAAAAAAGGAAAAGTGAGAATCTAGAAGCCAAGAAATTGAAGATTCCAGGTAAATGCTAATTTGTTCCATTAACATTCTGGAAGGTATGCCTGTTAAGTGAGAACAAAAATACCAGACTAGGAGAGTACCCAGTACCAGCGACAAGAAGGAAAGATGAGTAATGTCTCTGTGGAGCCTTTGTACTTAGTTCTGCTTTGGGCATTAAAATTTAAAAGTCAGTCATGGAGATTACAAGCTCCTTAAAGGCTTTCCCTCATACTATACCTTAGATATAAGAGGGACTTTATGGAATTCATGACAAGAGAAGAGCCTACAGGCATGGCCAAGGTGGGAGTGACTCTGGCAATAAGGACATAAACATTTTTAAAGGTTTTTCTTATTTTAAATACAGATTTCCAAACTGTCATCTGAAAGGTTCTACCACAAGAAACAATTTAACTATCACTGCAAGACTTTTCAATGAAAATTTCTATGATGACTAAATGTCCTAAATCTGCGTTGTCCAATGTGGTAACCATTAACCGAGCACTTGAATTGGGGCTAGGGAGGCTGAGAATAATGTTTTAAATAGTAATGTACATAGCCACATGCAGCTCATAACTACTGTACTGAAAGCTTTGTCACCCTCCCCATAATGATGGCTATGTTCCATAGGTCCTAAAGGGAGAATGACACAGAACATGGCACTAATGGCCATGCAGCTTGAGTAATAAGTCATATCAGTGACTTTTTGAGGTCTATGTTACCACAGTGAAACCTATTCTTACCTCAGTAAAACAGCAGTTAAAACTTCTACTTAGTATATGGGAGGACATGTTAACCTACATTGTTGCTCATACTAGCAATCTTTTTATTTACTAGAAATCTTGTTATCCCTTCAATAATATATTTAAAAGTCAGGCACTATTCTAGGGGTTGAGGATATTTCAGTGAACAAGATATACAAGATTCCCATCTTAGAGCTTACAAGTCTAACGGAGGAATGGGTGATGTTTAACAGACAATTTAAAGTGTTGATAGATTAGTTATCTCATTGTTACTTAGCTTTTAAGAAATTAGAACATTACTTATGTATTTTTCTAATAAACTGACCTTTTTTTCGTTTCTCAACAGTCTCTTCATGATAGAGCTTTTATCTTTTTTTCATTGATTGCTAATAACTCTTAATGCATTAGCAATATTAAGCCTTTATCTTATACATGTTTACCTCAGTTTGTAATGGCTTAAGCTCCCAGCCCCTCTCCAACCCACAGTGATACAGAATTCTTTTTTTAAATGGAGGTACTCACAGCTTTTTAATGATGGTTTCTAGCTTTGGTGTCCTCTTTAAAGTCCTCTCCACACCCAACATTAAAGAAATATTTATCTACCATTTTTTCTATTTTCCCCCCAATTTTCAGAATATGGGGATTAAAGTATAAGGATAGAAGACAGCTGTTTTTTCCTAAAATGTCCAGATAACAACATTCACTAACTACCTATTTTCTCACTAATACAAAAATTCCACCTTTATCAACACAACAAACTCCTGTATTTGGAAACTATTTCCTGACTCATATGTATCACTGCTTTAATTACTGTAGCTTTATAAAACTTTTTATCTGGTCAGGAAGATTCCTCCTCATTCTTTCAGACTTTTCCCAGCTATGTTTGAACATGTATCCTCAAGGAGGAACTTTAGGTTCATTCTGACATGTTCTAAATGTGATCTATTTAAGATTATGTAGAATTTATGTCTGCTTTCTGTTCTTAGGGTTATCTTTTTTTTTCAATTTCAGTTGAATACTCAGTTTCATAAAATGTTTTTGAGTAGTTCTGACCATATCAAATAGTTACACTTCTCATTATTTTCTAAATATACATGGAAACTGATTTCTCTCTTTAGCCAAAAATTATTCAGAAGTGTTTTCTTTTTTTTTTTTTTTT